AAGAAATTAAATAAAAACGACAAATGCATACAACCACATTTCAAAACTAAACATTTAAATGAAAACAAAAAAATTAAAACATTTAAAATTTTGTATTTTAATACAAAATTTGTTGTATTAAAAGAACAAAAGGTATGAGTATAATAATGATTCTAACATAACACTAAGCCAAACACCAAAAAACAACAACATATGTGTATGTACAGCCACATACATATACATATACATGTACATATATATATATATAAATACATTCAATATATATATATATATATTATTTCATTTCCATTTTGTATGTTGAAGTACTGAAATAACTCAAATTAAATAAAACTAAAACTTAATAAAAAAAAACCTATATAGACATAATAAAAAACTAATAAAAATGACAACATTACTAAAACTGTAACTAAAACTAAAATAGATAACTAATACAAATCAAACTACATTAGTTTATCAGTAATCCTAAAAAAAATAACACTGAGCCAAACACACATGCTAAAATAACAACAACTTACTGACACATAGCAAGAAATGGTTATAAAAACTGAAACAGAAGCGAAACAAGTAGTAGGAAATATATATATATATATATACTGATAGTTAAAAGTTTGGAATAATTTTTAATGTTTTTCAAAGAAGTTTCTTATGCTAACCAAGGCTGCATTTATTTGATCAAAAATACTGTAAAAACTGTAACATTGTGAAATATTTTTACAATGTAAAATAACTGTTTTCTATTTGAACATATTTTAAAATGTAATTTATTCCTGTGATGGCAAAGCTACATTTTCAGCAGTCATTACTCCAGTCTTCAGTGGAGTGATTTCTTATTATCAAGGTTGAAAACAGTTGTGCTGCTCCATATTTTTGTGGAAACCGTGATACATTTCCATTCAAAAGTTTGGAGACTTAAAAATAATAAGAAATTGATACTTTTATTTAATCATTCTTAAGTTATTCCATAATTTCAACATAGAATTTAAAAACTGACATTTCCAGGACTGGAAAAGTAAATAAATCTTCAAAATCATTAAAAATCTGTATGTTTTGCTGGATTCTAAAGTATCTCACCTGTACAAATTGAAATCTTTATTAGAAATTTTCATTAAAATTATTTTAATACAAAAATATATAGTAATGACAAACCATTGGAAAGGTCAAGGAACATAACTGATCGATGTACTGTTACTGTACTTTATCAAATAATCGAGTTATAATCAGTGTTGGGGGTAACACATTACAAGTAACGTGAGTTACGTAATCAGATTACTTTTTTCAAGTAACTAGTAAAGTAACGCATTACTTTTTAATTTACAAGAGAGTATCTGAGTTATTTTTTCAAATAAGTAACGCAAGTTACTTTTTTTCCAATTTATTGATTGACAGCTCCCCTGTCCCCATTTCGAGAAATCAGATGATGTTAAAATAAACATGAATATGCATTAATTCATCTGACTCACACACACAAAAAAAAACACAGATTCAGTTTTCCTCAAAATGAATAAAAATAATGCAACTCAGAATATGATTAATTAATCAAATTATTGAACCTGCAATAATTAAATGTTAAACAACACAAATATCCTTTATGTATTTAATCCCATTCTATTAACCAATATCTACTGCATTCTACTGCACGGACGTAAATTTACTTTCCCTTCAGCCTGAGGCTTATTCATTTGACTTTTGGTGTGAAAAGGCTTTTATATATTTGCCTAAAATAGAACTTTTTTATTTTAAAAACAAACAAGCAAGCTCTGTCCATACTTAAAAAGTAACGCAAAAGTAACGTAACGCATTACTTTCCATAAAAAGTAACGTCATTAGTTACTTTTTATGGAGTAACGCAATATTGTAATGCATTACTTTTAAAAGTAACTTTCCCCAACACTGGTTATAATAGTGTTTCTGAGTCTCACCGTTGAAAAAGTCAGAATGTACTGCCTTCTCGTTGGCGGCCAGATCCATCAGCAGTCCAGTGCTGCCGCCTGCCTGTCAACACACAGCACTACAGCATTACTGCAGCATTACTACAGCATTACTACAGCATTACTACAGGACCATTACAATAGCTCAGCGGCCCTGTCCAATTCGTTTATTTAAGCGAACAATGTTATACTGTTTTAGAAAAAACAATACACCATAAATATTTATATTAACATTTATTGAATAAATACTAACTGGATAATATGTGCATGCATCTGAGGAAAATGCGTTTAGCACTGTATAGAAGGTTAATCGGTACAGTGGAACGTAATATGTTCGTTTACATATATATGAGATTTTTAAGTGCATCTATCAAATGGCTTATCTGTATAGAAACGTGTTAAACACCAACCTCATCCAGGTCCACGTACGGACCGGCTCCCTCGGGAAACATTTCATCAACTGCTGGCTTCATAATTTCAGAGCGAGTAACGTTACTTAAAAATCAGCGATAAACAAATGTTTATGGTGTATTTTCAGTTCACTGTCAAATTTACCAAAACAAACACTTAAGCGCTTCTCCTCCGTTTCCGGTGGTGTTCAGATTCCGATGTCCGATTCGTGAATGAACTGTTCTTTTGAGTCGGATCTTTTTGAATGAACGACCTTTGCCCCTGTTTGGCTGTTTCCAAACCCGATTTGAAGGACGCGTTAGTGAATCGATCTGTAACTACACTGTTCTCGGATCAAAGAGCTACTCTGGGTCATTAAACAGAGAGCTGATAGAAGAACCGAACCGAATGCTTGACTGACAGGGCGAAAAGTTCAGTTAGTTTAATATCCGAATAGCAGAAATATAAATAAATCGTACTCCAAATACGTGTTCATCCAAAAAGCTGTGTTTCTGAAGGGACTGATGAGCTGAATCGTGGCTGCAACTACACGAAAACAACAACTCTATTAATTAATTAATAATTATCGAGTCGAAAATAAAGACCAAAATAATAATAATAAAGCAGTATTAAACAGCCATATGGGTTTATTTAAATGTTTAAAGCATGAATATGCCTCGCGACGTCGTAAGCAGGTACGAACCGGTTCTTAACTATGAACTGTTCGAAGGAATCGATTCGCTTAGGCTTCGCATCCACTAGTGGTGTTACGTCCAAATGTAACCGGGTGGAAAACGGGTCCCACTGGCTCGGTTGGAGAACTGATCCTCACGGTTTTTTGCAGTGATGGTATTAAAATAATTGATGTGCATCAGTATGACACTTTGTTTTATTTCTTACATTTCCTATATTTGCAAATGCAATAGTCGTATAATACATCACAATCATGCACTCTGAAGCTGTTAATCACACTACAATGAAACATTAATTCCTGTATGCTTTTTATACATTTAGGGATATAACACAGCACTCATTATTACAGGGCTATAAATGGTGTTTAGTTATATTTAGTCAATTATCATTAGTTTCTAATGACACAAACTAAACTATGAGTGATGAACTAATAACATCAATTTAGTGTCCATGTTGCTCTGCCACTTCATAACCCAGCGTGTCTCCAAGATGCTGATGGGCAAAGAATGTTCTGGCCATTTCATTGATCTGGTCGTAAGCCCCAATGTTGCGGAAGTATTCCACATAGTTCCAGAAATCTGAGGTGGAATAAGACCAGTAGGGCACAGCCGGGGGCCGTTCATAGGGCACTACGTGTGAGAGAGAAAAATAGAACTTGTGTATTCCAGCTGAGTTCTTGCATTCCAGGATTGCTGATGTGTAACTGCATAAGTTATCTATTTGTGTAAATGTGTCTAAATGTGTGTATTCAGGCAAACATAACAATATAGTTAACATAGTGAATATAATTATAAAACCAGCACCATGGGTTCAATTCATTGCTTAAATAAAAGCTTCATTGTGCATTTAGGATTTTTAAATGTGACTATTAATATATGCTGGCCAACAAAATGGTAAATAGTCTGTTTACCCCCTTCAGGAATGAATCTGGCACCTGTGGAAGGAGAGAGTAGAGGAAGAGTGAATGAAATCTGAAATCCTCCCTTACAGAGAGCTGATTCATGCATGAGAACTGAGGATCTCCCAAGGGATTCAAGAAATGTGAGTTTCCTTCACAAATATTATTCCTTACTATGTGCACACTTATCCTGATGAACACCGCTCAAGTCTTTAATGTTAGGTATTTGACTGTTTTCCTTTTAACAAATGTTCCAGTTTATTTATTTGACAAACATCAACTTCCTTTAATACAGAAATATTTACCATAAAATACAGCAATTTTCATATTCTGAAAATCTTGAAGTATAGCTTTTAAAGTAAATATCTAAAGAGCCCAAAGTAATATGAGTACTGCTTACCGCTTAGATTATTTGCAAGAAAACATAGCAAGAAAACTCCCAAAACAATACTCCACTTCATCATTCCCTGGAAATAAAAAAAAATTACTTTTACAAATTCAAGTTTAGGGTAAATATAAGCAAGCCTGAAAAAAAGCAAGTAAACAGTTTGCTATGTTCATGCATGTATATTGCTAATTGTTTTGGAAATGAACAACATTACCTACTTTGCAGCAGTGATTGTATGAGGTCTGTCCGTTTCTGAGAGCTAAAATGATTTTGTGTGTCACAGGTTCTGCGCAGACTGAACCCCAAGTTCAGAAAATATGTGTCCCCTCCCAAACTAGATCTATATCATCGAAACCCACCTCAAGACCATATATGAAATGTATTTCAAATCAAGTTGGTTAATGCATCATGCCATTATAAACATAAAAAATAAAATAAAAATTATTATGCATTCCAAAAGCATAATTTTGTTTTTAATTCATTAATATTCCAATAGAAATCTAAACACTATTATCAGTATAAAGTGTTCATAAAGGCACAGAAAATACAATTTTGAGGACATATCAATGCACATCTTAAATTATGCAGAACAGATAGGACTCCAGTATATTCACAAAATAAACACCCAATTAATAAAACCATTACTCAGGAATGACATGACAGAGTACTCCATAAGCAAAAACTTCATAAGCAAACGGTAAAGCTTTAATTTATTTATTTGAAGAGGTGCAAAAATATGTATATGGAGCATTATATGTGCCAGCTGGGTTCAGATGGTTTTATGCCATATGAATAATAATAATAAATCTTATTTTTATAGCACATTACCAAAGCCAGAGGATGCTTTACAAAATTAGTTTAGAGTAACAAAGACAAATACCAAACATTTATAACCAAGTACAACATAATATGAGTAGCTTTATGATAATTCAAACCGTTTTCAATCATAATAGTAATAGTGAAGGCACCAAAATATATATATTTTGGTGCCTATATATATATTTCAGTCTTTTCTGTTTAAATAGGACCATCGCATCCTTGCTGATCTGTGGGAATCATTTTGCTCACATCAATGTGGTCACGTGAGAAGATCTCTTTGGCATGGTAGATGGCCTCTGCGGGCAGAATGCGTGAACGGGACAGGATCCAGGCATAGTCCACATGGAAGAGCCGGAGAACATCAGTGCATGAATAAACAAGTGCAATGCTGTTGTAGTCAGTAGACAGGACCCAGTATGGGGCGTAGGGAGTGACTGCATACATATAAAAAGAAGCAGATGGTGAATTAACAAAATAACTCTTCAAGAAAAGTGAAAAAAGATTCTACGGTGTTCTAGAAATGTGTTGTCTGAACACAAACACAGCACATTCATGGACTCACAGTAGGAGAAACTGACTCCAAACTTTGCTGGCTCCCTCAGGTCCTGAGTGATTGCTGTGCCCTCTGCTTTTCTAATTTTTCCTTTGCTGTTTTATATAAACACACAATTTAGTTATGATTAAATGATAGTGACAAAACACAAGTTCTATTTAAGTCAAAAGATTTAATTACTCACTATGTCTGAACATTGACAACTTGGACAGTGTTGTCAGGCCGTAGCATGTAGTTTGCCTCAATGCACTTGCCTTTCTCAAAGGATGCTGGGAGCTTTTCAATTTCATACCACTTTCCAAGGTACTTGGAGTGAAAGGTAAAGCTCATATAAGTGCACTGTACACAATTAAAGGAACACTACACCAAAAAATTTAAATTCCGTCATTATTTTTTCACCCTATTGCCATTCCGAACCAAACAAAATAACAGCATTTGGATTTAGAAAGACATGAGGTTGAGTAAATAACAATTTTTGGAGCTGAATTTTATCTTTAAGATTCATTATATTTGCATAGTCCTACCTTGTTTAATTCAAAGTTTGGCTGGACCATTGGTGTTGGGCAGGGGCCCCAACGAAATGTCTGAGCAGAGACCAAGGGAAGCAGAAGAGGTACGAGCAACACAATCACGGCCTTCATCCTGTCAAGAGCTGCTTTCTCAGCTGTGAGAGAAAGCTGAGTCATGAGCTCAAGATGCATTAGTCATTTTAATGTCAAGACAATATGTCACAGTGTTATATAGATATTTGTAAACTGCATTGTCTAATTACAATTTGGAATGGTTCACACAGAATTAATCTGGAGTTCTCTTTTTCACTGTGTGGAAACATTCAACTTTAAAAAGGGAAAAAAAAGTATTATTTTCTATTACACTGTGCTACAGCGGTTGAAGATATGTTTTTTCCCCAGGGTCTTTTTTTTAATGGCGTATCAAGTTAACAAGTTCCTTTAAAGACATGTCTGGAGACTCAAATTTTTTTAAAGCACTTTTTTAATTCAACTGTGCTGCGTATAATGTCTGTCTCTGTGTGAATGAATCCTAAATTCACTTAAAGTGAAATATAGAATGCATGGGTTTTTGAGATGCCTTTTGTTTTGAATGCCAGGATTTTTTATTGATCTAAAGCTGTCAGACCTGTTGGAGCTGTTTGCATATGATCACCACAAATCACTGGTGTACACCTGCACGTTATTGAGGTTATGAAACTATGTGGTGTTATGAAATTTAATGTCTCTTATTGATGAAATTCTCTTTTTTTGATAAATGTAATTTTTTAATGATAAAACATGATACATTTACATGAACAATAAAATAACATAATTATAGTCTATATGAACTTATTTAGTGTAATATGTTTGTTAAATAATTAAATAGCATATAATCCAGTTTTTTTTGGGGGGGGGGGTCATTACTGTTTAGTAGAAGTTATCTGCCTTTTTTTTTTTTTTTTTTTTTTAAGGGGGT